TTTCTATGGATTGGTACTTTGATGTGTGAACTTTGTTGGATTTAAAAGAGTTGGTTTGTTAACTTCATTTAGTTTCTTTAATTCCCAGATTGTTCTCCTGTAATTTCTTTTGTATGGACTTGGCTTGCAGATATGATAGTGTCGGCAAGAACAAGTTATAAAACTTATGTGTTTTCTCGGTTTAGGGTATAAAGCTACGTATTATTTTTGATAGGAGGAATTACAGTGTTAGGTTAGTATCTGTTTGAGGAAAATCAAGTCTGGGACTCGACCTGAGGACCAGGTGCGTTCCACCTGCTTCTCACTTTGGAGAAGCGTGGCCGTCACTGCAGCCACATGAGGGAATGCATAAAGCTACGTATTATTGATATTTGTGTTGTTGCCTTTTTTTTTTTCTAATTTTTATTTATTGGCAGCTGAGAAGCAATTTAAGGAATCTAAATTTTTATTTTTGGTTGAAAAACTTGATTCGAGAACATTTTTTTAGCAAAGAATGACTTACAGGACAACCACCATTATTGAAAAGAAAGCATCTTTCTGTGTTAGATTTTTGACTGTTTAGTTCCGAAATTTATATGGTTATAATTGAGTTTTTTTTCCTTTTTTTTTTTTTATTTTAACTTTGAAAGCTTGCTTTTATTGATAATTACATAATACACTGCAGTATTTTTTACATTTTTCTGCATTTGACACATGGTAGGATTTGGTATGGCTGTCATCAGAAGGTATTATTATCTGGTCCAGTAGTAGTTTTCTACGCTATGGCTTCATCATGTTACAAGCTCTTCCTAGCTTCCTACGGTACTCTTTTGGATGTTTAATGTTCTTTCTGTGGAATGGTAGAGAACTACAAGCATTTGACTTTGTTTGCTGCCTAAACTAATTTTAGGTGCCTTGGTTGAATGCATACTGATTGGGTATTGCATTTACTCATCCATGTGTATTTGTGCGTAATGTTACTTGTGACTTAATCTCATTCATGGTTTAGAGTTAAGTAACTATTAATTTTATAAGCCTTGGAGTGGTTTGAGTTTGAAAGGCGGGATTGATTTGTGGAGTGGTTTGAGTTTGAAGGGTGGGATTGATTTGTGGAAAGATTTTATGTCTATCACCAAGTATTTTAGTTTTGGTTTTTCTCCAATAAGGTTGCCTGTTTAAGATGTGAGGTAATTAACATATTTGGATTTTAGCCTATATAATTTTATGGCTTCTTGGGGTTTGCCAACACCAGATTTTTCATGTTACTTCTGTTGTGTATAATACTATTAGTAATACCAGATTCTTCTTGCCTTTTCTGCATTCGTATGGGTTTTTAATTGTTTTGCCCTTGGTGCTTTGTCTCCAATAAGGTGCCTTGCTAATGAATATTGACATGTTCATGTGCTTTTTATGACATTTTATGCAGTGCAAGTAAGGAATTGAAGACTGAAAATTGAGAAAGAAGATAGGCCTACCAAAAAAGTTTACAAGTAAGATTACTCAAATTAAAAAATATATATATATTTTTTTGTGTTGTCTAAAATTATCAAATTGGTAACTATGTTAATTTTGCTGCAATGCAGGGGTAAATGCAAGAATTAGCACGTGTTCTGAACAAAGCACTAATCTATAACTACTTTATAGAAGATCACAATAAAAACCACTTCTTTCGGGTTTCAAGTACTGGCATTTGGGATGAAGGATGTCTTTTTTGAAGTGGCTTTGGTTCTGATCTTCAATATTTTAGGACTCATTTACTGACTTATTATCTTTTTGCTGCAACAAGCTGATTTGGGATAAACAATGTCTTTTTTCACTACTTTAGGGCTAATTCACTGTTTTATCATCTCTTTGGTGTGACAAGTTGTTGAACTTTCTATAGTTTTTTATGATGTATTTATGTTGCAATGTGAATTTGCATGGCAAATCAATGAAACTACTAGGTTGTTTAATTTGAAATTTGAAATATGCTTCTCTGTTGCAGCTGGGCAATATCTCCCTTTCTTTTTGCTTTTTGCTTTTTGCTTTCTTAATCTTAAGGTTCCTTTGTATAGCTGTATTGATAGTTTGTTATAATTGTCTCTTTTTTTTCATTTGACAATTTTCGATGTTTAGGGCAAGTAGAATGATTTACCCACCCCTTAGGACAACTTTTGAACTTGGAAGTAGGAAGAAAATCTCATACATTGATGGCCCAAGGCGGTAAAATGGTGTGCCTTATGTGCTTATTTGTTTCCATAACCTTTCTTTTTGTTCCACTTCTGAATATTGTATTGATCTTCAAGAGCTTCTTTGTGAATGCAAATATCTTCCTAATAATCAATTTAATCAGGGATGGCCAAAAAAAAAATTTTTAATTAGGGCCTTCCTTATTCCATCAACTGTATGACTTTCCTTATATATCTATGAGTAACGTTCTTCACATTGATTCATTTCTTAACTTCTTTGGATAGTAAAACTAGAAGCATCTTTTTTGCATAATTTTTTCTTGATGTTGGCATACCTTTTTTTTTTGGTAATCATCTGATCTTTGAGATGGGTTGTCAAAGATTCACCATTTCTTTGAACAACAATTTCTTTTTTTTGGTAAATTTTGAACAACAATTTTTAAACCTCTTAAAAGTGTTCTTTGGACTTTCAACTTAACTTGCATTGCATGTATTAAAAATTAAAACATATTAATACAATACAATTTTATGTTGTTCATGACTTGAATGTTTAACTACAGGTACAACTGCGTAAGTTAGATTATATTTTGCTTTTAATGAGGTCCAAATGACCTTGAAAATAACCACCTTCCCGCAGAGCAGGGTGTTCCTGCTAGTATCATAGATGAACAAATAATACAGTTTCCAGTAACGCTGACTACTTTATGACATGGTTTTGATTTCAATCACTTAATTTGAATAATTTTTACTGCAGTCCACAGAAGGAGGAGGGCTGCTTAGGGGATTGGGTGTCAGATTTATGACATTTGGTGCAAAGAAGTCAATGAACCTACAGCTTCCTCACTTGTGTAGTTCAATGATTTTGTACCCTTTGTTTTCGTTATTTATCCATTTGAGTTTCTTTCTCTAATTTGTTCAACTTAACTTGTTCACTTTTCATGGACCTCATAGTTTCTTCAATTTTAAAGTCCTAATTGCCAATTGCAGCTTTTGCATTCTTGTTTTATATTTAAACTAATATTTTGCATTTGAACCTGTCCTCTAGCATGATCTACCCGGGAGACTTCTTTCTGTGTGCTTAGTACAATATTCACATCATCACTCTTTTTCAAGTTGGTTTTGATTTGTGTATTCTATGACTTTCTTTCTTGTTCGGTTATTTAACTAGAACGGTGGATGAGTCCTAAAACACTTTTCTAAGAGAATGGTAAGCTTATTCCATTAATCCAAAATTCCCCATATGGGACTATACACGAGGCATTCACCCGTGCATTTTCAGGTTTACAGAAAATTAATGACAAAGCATTAATGTAACTCAACTAAGTAGCTAAGAGACTAATTGAAACTAGGTGCTGAATTGTAACTTTACCCTCACTTTTTAAAACTCTTCCATTTTTTTCTTGCCATATGAAATAAACTGCAAGGATTGTGCGGGGAGGGAATTTCCCAAGTCAATAGGAGATAACGTTCTTTAGTTCTCTTTAGCGACAACTTGAAATGTTCCATTCCAACTTCAATAGGGAAGTTGTCTAAGCTTACTCTTGTAAACTTCTGACATAACAATTTTTGGAGTGAAATCCCCTCATTACTTACAAACGTCATGCAACTTAACCTTCTTGATCTTTCAAATAATCAGCTTTTTGGTCCCATTCCTTTTCAAGGGAGTACGTTTTCAATACTATCCCACCTAGACCTATCTCATAACTCACTTAACGGATCAATGTCACCTTGAGTTTTCAGTATACCTTCGTTATAGGTCTTGATTCTCAATTGCAACTTTCTTCAAGATCAAATAAATCAATTCCATCAGAAATCATTGACAATCGTGGATTTGGCACACAATAATTTGATCTTTCAAACAACTATCTGTCTTTGAGAATCAATTTTGATGCTTACTTCACATTCCCCAAACTAAGACATTTGATTTTGTCTTCTTGTAACTTGAGTGAATTCCCCAGTTTCCCAAGACATTCAAATGATCTTCAAGTTCTTGACCCTTCTGTTAACAATTTAAGTGGGAAGATTCCAAACTATCTCCAAATGTTGATGAGCAAAAGTCTTTCCATGTTGAGTTTGCATGCCAATAACTTTGATGGAGATATACCATTTAGCTTTCCAGAGGGTTATGGATTGCAAAGTCTCAACTTGTATGGAAATAAAATGGAAGGCTTGTTGCCAAGATCTTTTATGAATTGTAGCTTGCTAGAGGTTATAAACTTTGGAGATAACAAGATAGCAAATCTAAGATTGCTGGTTTTAAGGTCAAATAAATTCCATGGTTTTGTAGTTAGCACCAAAGAACGTCCATCTTTTCCCAAATTATGAATCCTGGACCTCTCCGATAATGACTTTTTCGGTCCTTTGCCTGTTCCATACATGGAAAATTTTCAAAGCAATAGCGGATCCTTATAGAGATGACAATTTTTCTCAATACATGATGACCACGGCACTCATATAGGGCTATGGCTTCTACCACTAAAGAGGTCATTTGGCTTCACAACTTATTACAAAATTTTGGTATTCGCCAATCTCGCTCCACAACACTTTACTACGATAATCAGGTAGCTCGCCACATTGTTGCCAATCCTGTCTTTCATGAAAGGACAAAACATTTGGAAATTGATTGTCATTTGGTGTGTGAGAAATTTCAAGCTGGTATTGTCTCTGCACATTACCAATCTCTTCCTCTCATCAACCAGCTGATATTTTCACAAAGGCATTGGGCAAGGATAGTTTTTATTTGATGCGGGACAAGCTGGGCATTCATGACCTTCATGCACCAGCTTGAGGGGGAGAGTAAACAGTATCTGGTATAAAGTATCTGGTATAAATAATTTCTGGTAGAAATATCTCGGAATCAGGAGCATATTTGTGTACAGTTATAACTCTCCTAGACTTTAGGTACAAGGTTAGTTAAGTTATGATTCTGATATAGTTCTTTTGTGTATATATATATGTACAGTGACATACATTATGAATAGAGAATATACATTACTTCAGCAATTTATAAGAGAATTCCATAGGAATGGGAAGCTTGTCAAAGGAAGCAATGCATCGTTCATAGTGCTAGTCCCAAAAAAGTCAAACCCACAAGGTATGAACGATTTCCGCCCTATCTCTCTGATTGGTTGCATGTATAAAATCATCTCAAAGCTATTGGCAAATAGATTGAGGAGGGTGATGCCTAGTATTATTAATGAAAGCCAATCAGCATTTGTAGGGAATAGGCAGATAACTGATGGCATTATCATAATAAATGAGGTGTTGCATGATATGAAGAGGAGCAATAAGGCGGGACTAATTTTCAAAGCTGATTTTGAAAAGGCATATGATAATGTGGATTGGGGCTTCGTAGAGCTTATGATGGATAAGCTGGGATTTAATGTGAAATGGAGGAATTGGATGAAAGAATGTGTATCAACAGCAACAGTGTCTGTGCTTATAAATGGTAGCCCAACAGAAGAGCTCCATGTTGGAAGAGGACTTAGGCAAGGCGACCCTCTGTCACCTTTTTTGTTTTTGATGGTAGCAGAAGCTCTAAGTGGCCCAATGAGAAAAGCTGAGGAGATCGGAATACTGAAAGGAATTCAGGTTTGCAAAGGCGAGCTCCGTATCTCACACTTACAGTTTGCGGATGACACCATTCTAACATGTGAGGCAACTGAGGAGAGTGCATGGGCAATGAAATGTGTAATGCGATGTTTTGAGCTGATTTCTGGCCTTAAGGTGAATTTCGATAAGAGCTGGCTGTGCGGAATGAATGTTGACGGTGATTTGCTCGGTGCATTGGCATCAATTATGAACTGCTCGGTGGGAAGCATCCCATTTAAATACCTAGGGGTCCCAATAGGAGCAAACCCAAACAGAATTTCGACATGGCGACCGGTGATTGATTGCATGAGAAGAAGACTGGACAGTTGGGGGGGAGGAGCATTATCTTTCGGAGGTAGAATTGTTCTTCTCAATGCGGTATTATCCTGCTTACCCGTGTACCTCTTTGCTATATACAAAGCCCCAAAAAAGGTAATCTACATACTCACTAAACTTCAATGCAATTTCTTATGGGGAGGGGGGGAGGGTAAGAGAGGAATAGCATGGATAAAATGGGAGGAGGTATGTGGGAAAAAATCAGAGGGAGGGTTAGGAGTTAGGAATCTTGAGAGTTTTAATAAAGCTTTGCTAGGAAAGTGGAAGTGGAGGATTTTGAGGGAGAGAAATTCATTGTGGAGGAGGGTGATATCTGAGAAATATGGGTCGGCAAAGGAAAGAGGCTGGGATGGGTGTGTGCAGAACGAAAAGGGATCAGCATGGTGGAGAGGGGTGTGGAAATTAGATAGAATAGATAGTTCGAACAATGGATGGTTAAAGGACGGGTGTGTGAGAAAGGTAGGGGATGGCAAGGAGACACTATTTTGGGAAGACGTGTGGATAGAAGGAGTAAGCCTAAAAGAGAGATTCCCAAGATTATTCTCTTTAGCTACAAACAAAAGGGGTTCTATAGCTGAAGTAAAAGGTGACAGTGAAAGGGTAGGAGAATGGCAGTGGAGTTGGCGTAGAAATCTGTTTGTATGGGAACATAATTTACTGCAGGAAGTAACAGGAATGTTGAGCCAGGTTCAGCTGAAACAAGGGCAAACGGACCACTGGACATGGAGATGGGAAAGCACTGGGTATTATACAACAAGGTCAGCCTACCATCAGATCACCCAATCCCAACGCACTCAAGACAATGGCTGTTTGAAACAAATCTGGAAAAGTAAAGTACCACTTAAGGTTGCAGCAATAGCGTGGAGAGCTTTCGTTGATAGATTACCAACAAAAATCAATTTGGCAAGAAGAGGAGTAATCAACGACAGGGCAGAAATTATGTGCAGCTGGTGCTCAACAGAGGAGGAATCCCTGAACCACTTATTATTTAACTGTATCTATTCATGGAAAATATGGGCACACTGTTACGCTTGGTGGGATTTTTCCTCAGCAGCTCAAGTGAATGTCAAAAGCCACTACGAGCAACACATGGGACTTAATCAAAAAAAGGAGTTGAGGGAAGCATGGAGGGTTATATGGCTGACAACAATCTGGACGTTATGGGTATGGAGAAATCAGAAGGTTTTTGGGAAAGACCAAGATAGTGAGGAGGAGGTTGGCGAGCTCATAAAGCATAGATCTTTTCACTGGTTAAAAGCCAATTTATATCCAAATTTAAACCAGGAATTATGGAAAGATGACCCCAGATCAGCAATAAATAGACATGCTGAACATGAGACACTAAAAGGGAAGACGTGATCTTTCCATAAATCCTGTTGTATGTATAGGAGAGGCAGCACTTTGATGTTTGCTGAAATGTAAATGGGTTTGGGTACCCCTTGTATCCAATAAATAAATTTTTGGCTTATCAAAAAAAAACATTACTTCAGCAATTTACACTATAAACACTGGTTGTCACAATGAAAGGATTGATGGTGAGATGCAGAGAATTTTAAGCATATTCACTAGCATTGATCTCTCAAATAATCAAACAAATGAAATTGAGAACTAAAATAAAATAAAATAAAAATAAAAAGACAAAAACCTGCAAGTGCCCTCGACATCTTTCGTAAGCTTGGAAACGAGGTTCTCACGGTGGTTGCGGCCGAAGTGGCACGAATGCAGCTGCGTGTTGCGCTCCAATACTATGTGGAAGAACATGTTTGAGAGTGAAGAATGAGAGTTCCTGTCTATGGATTCTGGGTTCAGCAAGGAGGAAGAGAAAAAGTTAGGGCTTTTAGAAGGTAACTCTCAATTGATGAGAAATTTATGTAACTCAATTTCAACATGAAATGTTAACTCTCTTGTTCTTGATTGATTTACGTTGGTTAAGAGAAAACTGCTTACAAATTGAAGATGGAGAAGACAGAGTAAGACCAGTCGACAGCTAAGTTGCAGGGGAAGAGAGAATATAGACGACGATCACCTCAAACGACAGCGGAGCTAGGCTCAGCTCACTTTGTGGAGAAAGGAGACGAGAAAGACAGTTGATTTGGGTTTTCTATGTATCTCAAAGAAGCGTTTAAACCCTCATTTTTCATCCCCCAACTTCTGTGCAATGCCATTGGTCTCCTTCACTTGTAAAATCTCCCTTTTAGCCTTTAAACTTTTATTATTTTCACAAGAGGCCGTGTGATTGCTTATTTTATTTTCTATAGTAAATATTATTTGGAGAGGGGTGGAAATGTAAGAGGCTTGTATGTAAATATTTTGCTTACTTGAAAATTTTAGGTTTAAGTACCATTTTGGTCCCTCAACTTTTCACTTTGGTACCAAAATTGTCCCTCAGCTTTAAAAAGTACCAAAATTATCCTTAAACTTTCATTTTCGGTACCAAAATGATCCTTCCGTCAGTTAAATTAACAGCTGGCACGTTAAAGGGACACATGGCACGTTAAATGAACAGATGATAGGTTAAATGGGTAGCTGGCACGTTAAATGCCACAGCAACAACTTAATTTGAATGACGTGTAAATTTCAGGTAAAAAAATTTGATATTTTTTATTATTATTTCACCATTTTTCAAATTAAAAAAAAATTCATCTTTTTCCTTTTTATTCTTGTTCTCTCTCTTCTCCCTTCTTCCTTTCCAAATCAAACCCAGATCTGGGTTTTTCTCCTCCTCTCTCATCCTGCACATCGCTGGAACCCAGATCTGGGTTTTTCTCCTCCTCTCTCATCCTGCACATCGCTGGAACCCAGATCTAAAAGCCAGATCTCCATTGTGTTAACCCTGCAGCATCCTGTTCAATAGATGTAAACCAGAGAACCATGCATTAACAACTCAGATTCTGCTGAGGATCCTTCCGCCTTCAATTTTAAAATTCAGCTGCATTAAGCACATTTCCAATAATTAAAAGGTTTTGAAACCAAATCTCCATTATTCGGTTTCCAATTTAAACACTATTGAGTTAAACGAATTTCAACTCTCCTGCACTTTCTCAA